GTAGACTATATAACATCGAATCATAAGACGATTTAAGAATAAACTAGAAAGATCTGGAAGAAAACGGTCGCGGCGTAATCGAGGTAATATCCCGAAATCTGCCTGGAGTGAATCAGCAAAACCGCAAAAATCCGGTTTGTGTCTCGGTATAGATACGAACCGAACACCTCCCGAATTCAAGCGATACCGCTACGTCAACCAGCTCAGTTACAACCTGTTAATTTTATCTGAAACGTTTCCGATATTGTGATTATACGGTGAAAAATTATGTACGCGGATGTCAGACAAAATAGGACGATTTAGCGCTTGCGTCTGCAAGAAGAGCCCGAAACTAAATACGAGGTTCTTATCGTTTTATATTATTTCGTTTCTTATAAATTATTTTATTTCTGTAATTGAATGTTTAAAAAAAATACGACGAAGGAATAATTCATCCATCTATGCCGTTCTTTTAGACAGGTTTGTGTAGAGAAGACTTTAGGCCTATGTTACATGTTGCTTTACGTTACGAAATTTTAGTGCTCATTTCTGCCACACGAGTTCAGCACAAGATGGATAAGATGAAAGAAATTAAATTGATCTCTATCTGCAATAAAATGAAAACAAAAACCACAGAGGAATGCAGACTCTTAAAGAACGTGTTTGAAAAATGCAGAGTTCAGGTTTCCACTGCGGATAAGTCATTGCCAGTCGCGTTCGTTATGAGCAAGGTAGGATAGGGGTCATCTTACTAAAACCTTAGACAGAGCGAGCCAACGGTACTTGTCGTTATAGCCGAAAGAATAAAGTGTTGTGTGTGTGTGTGTGTGTGTGTGTGTGTGTGGAGGGGAGGGTTAGAGAAAGAGATAAATTGGGCAAATGTTTTACACGGTTACACAATAAAATATAAGAATTACATGCTCAGATAAAGGTGGAAGTGACAACTGTTTTGAATATTGCAGAATTCAAGGCGGTAGCAAAAGAAATCTGAAATTGTACGAAAGCAGCGAAAAGCCACACACAAAATGGAAGCTTTGTGTGACGATCTGACCCTTGACTTAGCAAGCAGAAGAAAAATTGTAGTGTTTAAATGATCACAAACATTCGTACAAGACGTTTACTGGTGTAAGAAGTTGTTGCAGCTGCAAATGAAATTCATGTAAGGATAACATAAGGACTTTGACGGCAAGGGTTCATTGAAAAAACAAAAATCCTCAAAGGGGATGGGGCCAAGAAGAACTGATTGGCAGTAAACCGACAGTCGTAAAGTAACTTTGTCTTCGACTTGTCGAGATCGAGTTAAGTGGGTGAGGAGAGGGCCAGAGACATAATTAGAGATCGGAGTCCCTGAGTGGAGGCGGGTTCGAATACCTGCACCGTAGTTCTGCGAGTCGTAGGAGGCGACAAAAAGGGAACCCAGTGCCCGGGGGTATAACTGGGCCATTTTGTTCCTGGGGGATATAAATACGGGGACCTGGCTCTCCAGGTTGGGTGAGTCTCGATTCTGAATTAGTCCGGCGGGACTCGGACTCAAGAATGGCTGCGCTGGCGAGGACCTGCAGCAATTGTAATCGACAGACCTGTCCTCTCGTCAGGGCGCCCCACGTCAACAAATCAGTATGTATTCACTAAACATACTTGTTATATGTTTCGACCATATATGATCATAAGGCTTTCTTCGTCTATTAAAAATGTTGTCAACATACATCACCGGACTGCTTACACAATGGATCCATTGTTAGCAGTCTTATACAGTTATAACTGGGTTAAATATTATTATAGGTAAGTCTACATTTGCCGGTCACGGTAGCCGAGCGGTCTAAGACATGTACTGTCTTCGCTCGCTTGGAAACCGGGATCGTGGGTTCGAATCCCACTCAGGGCATGGATGTTTAGTTTGTGTGTGTGCGTTTTTCTGCGTTTGTGTACAGGTAGAGGCCTTGCGACGAGCTGATCACCCGCCCAAGGAGTCCTACCGAATGTGTAAGATCTAGAAGAACCGAAGTGAACCGAGAAGTTCATGAAAGTAGGCCTAGGGCCACTGGGGCTGTAGTACGAAGGAAAAAGAAAGTCTACATTTACTATTATTATAATATGAATTAAAAATATAAGTCAAAATGACGTAAGCAGAAAACATTCTTGGGTACTGGTAGCTTTTTCTACGGAGGTAAAGGGGCCAATGTGTAAAGCTAACCATTCGCCTTAACCTTCCACCGAATACGTGGCGTTTTACCTGCATTCCTCCATACGTCTACGTGGTCTGATAATTAAAAAGCACAAGGAAACCTTGTCTTTTATAGGAGATGCGACCAGTGCTGCGAATGCGAAACATAAAACTCTGTAGGACAAGAAACGCCATGTAAAAGCGAGAACTTCTCTCAGCACGCCTGGTTACTCTAAAAACTTCTGGGCAGAAGTGTTCAACATAGACCAACAAGTGTCCCGTTTGGTGCACTCAACTCTGCTTACGGTGGTGATGTACCGTTAAAAGAATCGACTGGTGACGTAAGTCCAGTTACCAATCACATATCCTGATATAAAAACGTTTTTAAACCAACAGTCCTGAGCAGACTCACAAAGCTTACTATCCTTGACAATGAGTCGGCCAGTCTGTCTTGGAATAAAGCACCCATCTGGGAATTACGACCAGAGTTCTATTACTGTCAGCTGCGGGTTTGTTGATGTAGAGCGCTCTCTGTGACGAGAGGACGGGCCTGTGCTGGCCCTCGCTAGCGCAGTCATTCTTGGGTCCGAGTCCCACCGCGACCATATTTTACTGTCTCAGATTCGAGACTTCCCTTTTCATCGCTTCCTACAACTCGCAGGGTCGCGGTGGAGGTATTCGACCCCTCTTCCACATGGGAGTAGTAATATCCATTATTTTTTAAGTTATAGACCCTGCATGTGACATTATTAATTATGTATCACTTTTCGTGTTTGATCACAATGAGCACAGCAGATTTTTGAAGAAGTTGTTATATGTGTACCCCACTGGAGTAACCGGTGTTCCAAATGTACATTTTTTTCCCCTCATCTCATTGTCCTTGCTATTAATTTACTGAAGATAATACTAACAAGTTTTTTGTTATAAATTGTTTCACACATATGGCACCAGTGAATCAGAAATATTTCTGTAAACGTTTCCCACACGCAGAGGTGTTTAAAATACTATGTATCACGTGTGTCTCTCAGCTCGCCTGGTTACTCTCTAACACAGACCAACAAGTGTCCCGTTTGGTGCACTCAACTCTGCTTACGGTGGTGATGTACCGTTAAAAGAATCGATTGGTGACGTCCGTCCATTTACCAATCTCCTCGTGTTACCATCCCTTATTTTTCACACATCCTGACATAAATTTTTTTTTAAACAAGCAGCTCCGAGCAGACTCACAAAGCTTGCTATCCTCATACATAAAATTCTAATCTATAAAATATTGTGGTATGTACGTTGAAAGCCAGAACAGTATAATCAGGAGAGACGACCGTTGCTAGGCACTGGCTGGTAAACGTCACGTGACGGCAGCCACGCTTAAGCAAGCAACAATAGAAGAACTGTTGGAAGCTGTGTTCCCTATGCAGTCCGTCGCAACGGCCACAAAGTGACTGCGGTCTGTGAAGAGGCTATATAACTCGAACAGACAATATCCATTGTTCTATATTACTGTTACTTTATTTTACTTTTATGAAGAAATTATTATATTCTGCAAAATCAGTTGAACTTTGTCGGGCATTAGCTCAAAGTTTCGTATCAAAGCCATGTCTGTAATTACTGACTTACTGACAGTCCATACATAATGTGTACTACATAGGTATGTTCATAATCTGCTTCCATACATAATGTCACATGCCTATCACTATCAGACCAAAAGCGAAAGAAAATTTTATCACTGCCACAATGCTATTTTACATTTTATAAAAATACTGTCCAATCAAAATGGTGCGCATTTTTCCAAGCTCTATTACAGTGCAACACTTCTGTACCCTAAGTGACTCTGGTTTCGCTTACACCTCACAAGTTCGCGCGTCGTCAGTGTTAGTTCCAGTTTAAGGAAATGAAAACTCACGCCTTCGATGGCACATACGCTTACGCCTACGAAAGCTAATAACGATCGCTGCCTGACAAGCCATTAAGACGTACAAGGGTGTGGGGGTAAAACTCCAAGCACTCAATGGCGGTGGTCAGCTTTACGCTCAAGCTTATTTAACCGGAAATAACAGTAAGCGATGTCCACTGAAAAGAGGGCTGGGTTGATCCCAGGGTTGGTTAGAACATGGCGGCGAAAGAGAAACTGGAAAACCGTCGTCCATCCCATTGCTTCTTGTCTTACTGGTCGAATTATTTCTATCCCAGAAAGAGGCCATTGCTCCTGAAAAATGTAAGTCCCACGATCCATCGTTCGAATATTTCTCTACCCTGATCTTTATGTGTGAAGGTTACAGGTAACGGTGGTACTGAATGTGATCGATTTAAGCCCAAACCCACAAATATACTATGTGAACAAAACTTTCTTATTGTTAATGTAGGCGATACACACCGTAAATAATGTTCTTTAAAGTGTTAATGTTGAGGTTACTACGTAATGAGAAGCTATTTTCAGCAGAATGTGGAGTTGGGCCACATTACATTTCTCCTACATGACTCAGGAAATACAGTAAGTTGGCTGTCAATTCCGACTCCATCTGCAAACGCTGATTCATACAATCCCTACTGCAACAGTCTCCACGGTTCCTTTGAAACAAACTGGTCATTGACGATCGTCGCATTGGAACTTCTAGCTGCGTTCTACAACAGAACTGATCGCTGTCACTCGCAGATCTGTGATACGGCTTTATTCATCAAACAACACAGAGCAGTAACGCAGGGAAAGAAATGAGAGCCTTAGTGCTGGGTCTTTCAACAGTAACGTAAACATTCCAGATGAAACTGTGCCATGAATGTCACATTCCTGAACCGAGACAATTAAACATCAACAACAAAGCACCCTGTCCTGAGGGGTGAATATATTTGAATTTCAAAATACCTGGTAAACGAGTGTGTGTGTTCCAAATCTCTCCTCTGCTTCTTCGTAGCTCCGGTTTGGATGTTGATGCGTGAGTTGTAGTGGCAGTTATTTGTAGAACTTCACATGTTTCGATGATAATAAAACAGATGAGAAACGAAATCCACTGTGGGAAACCAACTCGCCTCCAACCCCACTTCAACATTTTAAGTCCTTAATCTTCCACGAATTACTCACAGAATGTACGTATCACATAATTACGATGGCCATCGTCCCTTCGTTATTACGTCGCCAACAATTATCGTAATTAGGTATTACTACCCAGTCACATACCCTGCTCTTAACAATGATGCATATTACTTACACATGACAAATATCCAGAACTCCTACTGGAGAAATACTTCTGACGGCGCCGGCTCTGCGCCAGCTAGCATTCTGCTTCTAGGCCACTACCTGTATGTTAGTCACGCTTAGTTTAAACCTCATACCGGTATATAAAAGACATTTCAAACATGTTCCGCATAATGTTATGAAGAAGATCTGCTGTATGAAACATAACCGTTTACTCAGAAATACATGCTAAAATATATCACGGTTCAAAGTACAAACACTATTCTTCCCAAGTGTACTCATAACATTGTGAGGTTTAAAATTATATATTTACTGATAAATTTCACCTATTACAAGAATCCGTATAACGAACTTTTGTATCCTTTACTAAGTTTACGAGGAAGAAACGCTCTATGGATTTGCTGCGAACCGCAACAGTCCGCGTCCACACGCAACATTTACGCAGTTCACACACAACCACTCACTTCACCATCCGTCCCTCGACTGGTAGAGCCAGGTCTGCCGTCGCCCGCCTGCTAGGCAGACTGTGTGTACAAGAACTTGCTTGCCAGGCCAGAAACCAGACTACTGCTGCACAGCGCGCAGAGATGGCGTGTCTTCTTTCCTTCTTCCTCCCTTTGGTCTTCATGTTCTCGAGGTCCCCCCACCCTTTGGTCAAAACTTGCGGTCCCCCCCAATTGCATACCAATCGATTTGCCTTGATTTACTTGGTATATAAACAAGCATAACCCCCCCCCCTTAATATTCTTCACTGAGCTGCCTGAACTACGTAGGAGCGTGCTACATAAAACACAAACTACTCATCTTCAATACAAGCATAATGTTTCTTGTTGGTTTTTATGCTCTGACCCTCTCACCCTGTCCTTTTCTTTCAGCCTCCTTTGAGACTATCGTACAGTCGGAGTTTCTGCAAAAACCCGAAGGATAATGTGTCTGTGCATTATTTTACTCCCCGAAATTTTAACACCATGTGCGACTTTCTTGAAAAATAGTTTTGTATCTGTTAAAATCAAATTTTGACGCCCACTGATGTCGAAAAGAAAAGCTTCTATGCACCAAGTGAATGCTTAACTACACAGAAAGAAACATCTGAAATCTGAAAAAAACCCGGTAAAAGTGCACAGACGTATCGCTGTCTTTGTTTAATGACTTCATGCCTGTCTTATTCTCCGATCCTGAAAGTGGAGGAATTACCATCCTCCGAAACGTAGATTAACTTTTCATTCATCAGTAATCTGTCAGACGACAGGTCCACAGTCTCTTCCAAAACAGTTAACTTTTACTGGACTATATTTCATCACGTCACGGAAATCCGTACTCTTCATAGTCACCGCCGTGAAAAACTCTAATCCAGCGTATATAAATTTGCCTTTTACGATGAAACTACTAATATCAGTCCTCTTAAACAGAGCAAATTAGAGATGCTTTCCATTATAAAAGAATTTGTTTGACTGCGAACACTATTAAAACTACATTACTATTAACAAAGCAGTCTTCTGGGATGTGGCACCGTGTAGATGTGGTGTTAACCGACGTTTCGGAGGAATGTATCGCCTCCATCTTCAGGGTAGAAGGAAAAAATAAGAAAATCCGCAAGTGAAGAGACCGTGAGAACCGGTACAAGCAGACTGTGAAAACCTCAAATCTTGCATACATTACTATTAATTTTCATGTGCAGAGGATATGTGGCTAATAAAGCGAATAGGGAAGGAGTCAATAAATCCATATTTTGAAAGAATTCGGAACTGGATTTTAAGTCACGACTTCTACATAAGTTGGAGTTGTGTCCTACAAAAAATCTCGCCTCATTTTTCTGGTCCAGTAGGTTACGCGATGCTACTTGACGCGTTAATGAACGGCCACTAGTACGAAACCTAAGTAATACATTAAACTTGCACGGGGACTGACTGAATAAAGGCTTCGTTTCAGTATATCAAGGGTTTCATTTCAGGGGTTCCTTTACCACCAAATAACTCTGACCTTCTTTAGCACACATATTCAAAAATCAGCTATAACACAAATGTTAGCCTTTTCATCACCAAATCGCTTTAACGTTGTTAGAACTGTTTTTCAAATCCTTT